ACCGTGGTTTTTGGTGGTATTCACCCACGCTGGTACTGTAGAAACACAGAAAAAAGTTCTGGAACAAGTCTCCAGATGGTTCTCCAGAAAAATTTTCCGAGACCTTTTGAGTTTTCGCAAAAACTAACAACGCCATCATGTTCAGGATAGCTGAAAGCCCATTCCCAGGTATTTTCCGTTATTTCTACCATTAATATATGACAATTAAAAGCTGATGAACTCTATATACTAATCAACCTTTGGTTGCCTGAAGAAAAGTGAAATTCTTTATTTTCGGTAACATATTATTGATAAAATTAAGGAAAAATCCACGGGAATAGGTTTTCGACTATGCTGAACATGATGGCGTTGTTAGTTTTTGCGAAAACTCAAAAGGTCTTGGAAAATTATCTGGAGAACCATCTGGAGACTTGTTCCAGAACTTTTTTCTGTGTTTCTACAGTACCAGCGTGGGTGAATACCACCAAAAACCACGGTTTTAGCCCGTTTTTAGCGATTTTCATAAAAATTTCCAATATGAATGAGTTTTCAGATTCAATATTCATATCCAGCACAAAATTGTGCATCCGAATCACTATATATGTTGCTTTTTCGGTGCTTCCTAGGAAAGTAAGGCATCAAAATACCTTTTTTGCAAAAAGCAAGAAAATGAAGGTAAATATAAGACTACTATTTCCAAGAGCATTTTTGACAATTTTGAATGCACCCGAGTATCCCCTGACATAGTTCCAATGCAAAAAAGCCGAAATTATTTTGGGCTAGCAAAGGGTCTTATCCGCCTTATTCCTTTATACCGATTTTACTTGTACTATTTAAATCGATCATGTTTGATTGGAAATCTTCCTGCTTGATATTGATTTATTATCATTGGATCACCGTCGATCATTACGTTGTGCACAATTATCAAGTTTTCATATTTCCTTCAATCAATACACCAATGAAAATCAAACGGTACATCTCCTTTGTTCTACTATTAAATTAACAGATACACGAATTCAAAATGAACATATGATTATACCATTATCTATATCTTCAAATTCAAATCAACTTGGAACTCATCTATTAAGATCGAAATTTGATTATCAATGTACATTAACAATGAATTCTGTACGAATTCTATTCGTGATTGATTAGTTATTAGGTCTCAATGAATTTCTCAATTCATTCTGCAAACAACAACGGATAATAAATAAGAATGGTATTTTAATTTCATCATTTGGCATTAAACTTGATTTAAATCGACTTGAACTTGCTCTTGTTCCAGCAATAAAAGATCCATATTCTAATGCTCTCATTTATTCTAGTACAATGGTTATTAATTTTAAAGAATCACTTCAATCAATCTAATGGTTTGTGACTGATTTCAAATTTTTTACCTGTCAAATTGGAAATATCGATGAGACAATAGTTTCTATTATTGAACCTACTGAATGTTCTTTACATGTTCAAAAATCACGCGAAATACTCAATGAACAAATCTGTATATTGAATATTCTACTACTAAACATTCGTCTAGCATATTCGGATATTAAAATGATCTGTTCTCTAATTCATACTGTTTCCAAACAAATTTCTCAATCAAAAACTCGTAAATCTTTATTAACATTTATTTCTTCTCTTCTTACATTACCAGTTAGAAATCTTCCAACATCTATGTTAAATATAAGATGTCTAAAATTTATCTATCTTATTGATGATTGTTTTGGTGTAAATATTTCTTTATTAAATATTAATCTAAACCATTTATTTTACAAACAATCGAAAATAATCATTTACATCGTACAGATCAATGTGGATTTGAATTCAAAATTCCCTATTATAATCGTTTTCAATCTGGTTTTGAACCACTTATTCAATCATGTCCATTTCAAATGACATTAAGTCGATTATTAACATCAACTTTATTATCTCTCTCTTCGAAAGAAATACTTAATTTAAATTTTACAAAATCAATGTATCGATTGATTAATATTCTTAAAACAAATTGACTTACTGATTATCAGAATTGAGAGAAAATAACTAGTTTTCGTCGTGTAAAACCACTGGATCCATGTTGTTTTAAAAATGTAGCTTGGAATTCGAATTGAATTTCGTACATGGTTAACTGGTGAACAACGCTTTTCATCATTTGAAAATATTGTGGATGATAATCAAACTGTATCCTTTGCCTTTCCAACTCATTTCTCTCAAACACGAGTACAATCAAATTCTGTAGTTACTTCTCTATTTCAATCTGATCGTCGTCTGTTAATTTCTGTTGATGGTTAGGAAACATTACAACCTATATCAATCGATCATGTTGGAACATTCTTTCGACTTGCTACTCATCAATTATATAAACCAATTCTTGTTATTATTCATATTGCTATGACTGAGATTCCTATACGTTTAATTGCAATAAAATCATCTATTGAAATACGTAATCAATTAATAAATTCAATCGATATACAATTTATCTCACAATCGGATGATTTACATGAATTTTATTTAGAACCAAATCAAATTCGTTCATTACCTATTCAACTTTGTTCAACAATTAAACAGATACATATTCGAACTGCTAATTTTGCTCTTGATTATTGTGATGATCCTGTTCAGTGGTCAGACATTGAAAAAAATCATCAATCATTTCTTCGTTCATGTTCAATCGATGGAAAAGAAGCTGTTTATTATCTATGTTTACAATCGAAACCAAAATATCCTGTAATCCTTCAAGATCCATCATTATCTATTTATCAATTAACAATTATTCCATCATTAACAATTTGTAATCTTCTTCCGTGTACACTAACCTTTGAAATTCCATCTTATCCTCAAAAATTTGAAATAAATGCTTATAAATATCATCGAGAACATACATTAAATATTCTTCAAAATTTTGATATTCTTTTTCTCATGAATATTTTTCGAATGAATAAATCATTGCATTTATCAACAATAAATGATCTACATGGAATGAAAGTTACTTATCAACGAGTCATTTTTTATGGCCATAATCAACGAATTATTAGTTGATACAACAATTGAATATGTAATTAAACATCGTTTGAAAATATCAGTATCTGTTCCTTATGTTTTATTAAATAAAAGTGGAATGATTTGTATAATTATAATGAATTTTATAGCGAAGAAAATCTTTATTTTTAAGTATTCCGTTAATTTTTAAAGATACAAATTCAAAAATTGAAGAAGCTGGATAAAGTTCAGACGATGAATTAATGTTAAATAAAAAACCATTACTATTTTCATTTGAAAATTCAAATCGTAATAATACATGTATAATGAGAATTGGTACAGGTTTACATTGTCATCAAGATGGTCATCCTCAATGGTCACTATGATTTAGTATTGGGCATGGTTCTACTTATCGACAATTGCAAATACGTTCATCGCGTAATTCATCCAATTGGAATTATTCTATTGCTATTGATGTTCGACCAGGTAATGGTCATTTTAAAAAAATTAATTTTATTTTTCTCAGTGCACGTTATATTATCTGTAATCAATGTTCGTATGATTTATTAATTACGAAACGATGTAACTTATAAAAGATGAAAATTCTAATTATGTTCATATTTCAAAACATGCGACGATTGCTAATCATTGGCCACGTACGAATCCAGAACAATTATTGTGTCCGACTAATTGATAATCATCAATATATATTAGTAAATTAGTCAGGCGCTTTTCAAATCGATTGTATAAATGTATTTCACATCAATATGAGATATGAAAATAGTCAACGTTTAATACTTTGTGTACAAATTATTGAACGAAATGGAACATATTTTGTTGTATTTATGGATTCAAATCTAATGCCACCTTTATTTCGTATTTCAAATCGATCACATGTACCAATTCAATTCTATCAAACAGAAATTCGAGAAGAATTACCTTATACTTAGGAACAATTATTCAACCTTATCAATCAATAGATTATGCATGGAATGAACCAACATTAAAACCGATGATAACCTGTTCAATTGTAGATGGTAGTAAAGCGACTTATGATCTTTTTAAACTTGGTTCTGGTGATCATTTAAATTATCAAAGTTATATCTAACTTGCTTTTCAAGTATCTCTTATCAATTGCATTTTCACATGTGTAAATAGATTGTATTTTCTCTCAAGAAAATTCCATCAAACAATTAAATGAACTGTTTGTTCATATGAATTAACTGTAGAAAAATTTATTGTTTTGATTTCGTTTAAATAAATAGCAAATCATGTTAATCTATGTATGAAACAAGTAAATATTATAATGTTGCATAAGAGCGTCCGGTAAAAAATCGCATTTTTCGATTCTTCTCTCCTATCGAACAGTATCCTTCGTTGACTGACTCATCCCATCTATATTGAAAAGAACTATTGAAACATAGAATGAGGATTATCAATGAATTTTTCCTCCCTTACACAGCATGACTGATACAAGGTCAAAACTCGAATCTACTGCATATTTATCTGCATTCCTAAAAACTTGAAAGTTATACAAACAACTTAAACGGTTGTATGAAGAAAGATTTTGAACGAATTAATTTTATTTAAACAACGATTAAAAATAACAATCGTTAAATTGCACATGTATGAAAAAAATACTTATTGAAATGTTTTGGAAGTGAACAAATAGTATTATCATACAAATAATCTATTTTTGAACAATTAATGCTTGTTGCATCTCTTCGAAAATTGTGTGTAACTTTTTCTAATAGTTGATGATTAGTAACAAGTTCGACATTATATAGTAACCATGTTTTAGTATTAAGCAGAAATTGTTCAATATAATCTTCATGAGCTTCATATAGATCTATATCTTTAAGATGAGAATATTTAGCGATTGTCAAATCTTGATGATCATCTTTTGATTTATTCTTTTGTGCTTTTCTATTAACTAATGTTAATTTTTTCATCAATGGAAACGACTGAGCAATTCGAAGAAAAAATTCATGTTCAAAAGGCTGTTCATCAAATAATGATATTTCACGAACACATTCAAATAATCCACCTGAAAAACTATTTGTTATATTCTTGCACACTTTCGATATATATGGACATGAATAAATACGACATAGACCTTCTAATTTCTCTGAAAAATAATTAACACAACATATAATTTGATTATGTTTAAAATCTTTGAATGAGTTTTGAATATTTTCATTGGATGGTAAATTAATTTGATTGTTAAGAGTAATGGTCGAATGAATATTAAATGTAAATTTCTTTAATTGTACCATATGATCGATAATATCTTTTAAGTTGTTTCCATCAACAAATGTTTTTCTGTCCAAGATTGTCAAATCCAAAGTGAGTTCATCTAAATTCGACATTCGATGTAGAAGTGGTACAATTAGTTCATCATATGTATATATAACGAGATCAGAGTATACCCCAAAACATCTTAAATTAGAAAGTTTTTCCTAGAAAATAATGTAATTGATTTGTTTATATTAGAGTTTAAATAAAATAATTTACTTTATTATCAATTACTAAGCGTGAAGGAATAATTTCATAAATATTAACATAAAGTTTACGAAGTTGATTGAAACGTCCATCAAGTAAATAAAGACAATCATTGAATCGATCCAAATTGACATGTAATTCTAATAGATTTGACGAGAAAACAGATGGGGGTGATAAATCAAATGATAATATTTGATACGACATGCAAGATGAAGCAAAATTTAAATATTGTAAATTGGTGAACATAGTAAAAATATGTGTAAATATAAATGTGTTCGCATTTTCTTCAATACTTATATGGCCATTTCGACTCATCTTGATAACAAGTGATAATATTTTACTTTTAAATTTATGAAATAACAGAGTTTCATCTAAAACATGAATTAAACAGAAAAAGACAATTATGAATCAGACTATAATCAATTCTAAATTTATAGTATCTCCCATTACAAAAATTATCCTGTATCATCAATGAGATCTTTGTTACTTGAATATTCATATTGATAACTTATGAATACATTAGAAAATTCAATGATCGACAGTATTGCTGATATTAATATACTCTTATCTTTTTTAGAATTAATTTTAACAAAAGAAAAATATCTTACCAGAAACGAGTCGTATTGCTTTTTGTCTATCAAGATTGTATAAACCAAGTCCACATAACTTTGGATAGTCTGTACAAAGAAGAATACGTGTCATTGATGATGATTCAAGATTAAGCCATTCCAATTTATGATGAATTTTAGGTAAAATTTGTAAACAATATCGATCAAGTATTGTACCAGATAATCGATAAATACAATCACTCGAGTGACAGTTTAGTAAACTCAAATGACTTGTAAAAATTGGATCATGTAAAATTTTATTGAGTCGCTTATTAACGTCAAATAAAGAATAAAGTAGAGCGACGTTGTTCACCTTCTTGAAGATTATCAAAAGTATTTCATCTGGTAAATCATTCAATTGAAGACATGAATATTCCATGTTTATCTTCAGTTGTCTATTCCTTCTCAACTTTTAATCATCCATATATATTCATTTATTCTATTTGACCGATTTCGTCGGAGAAAACAATGATACCATTTTAATATCGTCCAAATCGACAGTGAATAAAGGAATGAATTGATGATAATATATTTGTCTTATTTTCGTTCAATATATCTGATATAATGATCATTTACAATTGTTAATTGACTGTTTCTTTTTTGATAAGAAGAGATTTACATTTAAAAAACTAACAGTTTTGTTGGAACTGTTCATGGTAATATATATTTATTTATCTAGACGTAATATTATCATATTTTTCTTTTTTTTCAATCTTAGATTACGTTGATAAGACCTCAATTATGAAGAAGCCTATTTTTCTGCGGTTAATTGTCGATGTACTTAAATTACAACATCAATGCGCATTTACTATTTATTCGAAACTTATTCTTGAAGTTGTTGTTCTTTATTTATGTGGCAGATCGTCAAAATATAAAAAACGACAACCAATGAAATTGAAACATAGCACTGAGTGAGTCTCCGTGTATGTTTTAACCAATTTGGTTTAGCATATCGATAATAGTAAAAATTCAATGAAAGATAAGAGATTTAAATATATGATCGCTTGTTAATGATTCGCTTATTATATTTATGTATCAGTTGGAGTTTTTGAACTATATGCTCACGTGCATCTACTTATTCACAGGGTCCATGCATTTGAAACATCTTTATATATTGTCTTCTGATTATTTCTTCTTTTTCAGTCCCAAGTTCTTAAAAGAAACATACACTAAAGAAGGCACAATAATTGTTCTTTGATATTGTTTCGTATGCCATCTTCTCCCCTAGTGCTTTTTTATTACAAATTTTATGATTGCAGATATTATTTATAAATATTTCAAAATTAGATGTGAATAGTACTCTTACCAAGGGGGAATCAGCAGAGACTTCAGCCGTGAAGTCTCATGAAGTCTTGTAAGTCTTTTGAAGTCTTCTGAAGTCTCTTGAAGTCTTTTGAAGTCTTATGAATTATCATAAAGTCTCATAAAGTCTCTGAAGTCTTTGAAGTCTCATGAAGTCTCATAAAGTCTCATGAAGTCTCTTG